GAGTGCATAATAGCGTTGAATACAAACGAGGAAAAACGACATACAGCAAGAGAGAGAGAGGGACAAGTATAAACGTTAATCCGTCCACCACCCTGTAGATTAGGACGGATTACATTATATACAGGACGGTTTTCGCCGTATATCGGTGTACGCATCTGGCGTAGACCTCTTTAATCCTTATTCGGTCGGCTAAATTTCAATGAGGAACCGAATTTTTCAAACGTTCACAACTACAGTAGATAAAGATGTCAAAAATATTCAAAAAATAAGTTATTTCGTTGGCTCCATTACTTTAATTGAGGATTTTATCGAGAGATTTCTTAAAAAGGATCTAAAAGGAGTGGTTTTTTAAAACATTTTCTTGTCGCCTCCGGGAAAGATTGGAAGGTGGTGAAACTGCGAAGCATTTTCCGTCGCACGTAGTGCATTAGATATTACTTAAACAGCCCCAAGGGACCGCTTTGAACGCTTTAACTCTCCTCCGGGTGCTCGGGCATCAAGGGAATTAACGCGAGGGAGGCGCGCAGATTTTAGAGCATTAGACTTAGCCGAAGGTGTGACTGTCGACGACGACGACGACGGCAAACACAACAAAGCCGCGTTACAAAAGCTTCTTAATACCATCCACATTTAAAATAATGAAAAATAAAATAATTACTTTAATATTATTTAAAGAAGAAGCTTAAAAAAATGTTATCCTTAAAAAATTCAAGTAAAAAACGTTTAGATAAAATGTGTTGAAATTAAATTATCTATATCAAGTTATCTCCTATAACTAGGGGATGTTAATTCGCTTTTTGAAACCTTAAAATTACGGGTAATAAAGCCCTTCTAAACAACAATCTGGATTAGTGGGTACATCTAATTAAGATGATTAAATTGGCGAATTTAAATTAAAAAATAATAAAGGTAATAAAATAAGTTTAAAGAAGAAAATGGAGATGACTGAATAATTAGACCTCACATTAGCACTACAACTAACAATAGACCTAGAACTAGAATCATTCGAGATTAGCCGTGCGTCTTTCAAGATTAATACTTGCATTAACATTAGAATTAACACTAGACCTAGAAACATTCTGGTTTAAACCCGAATAATTCGAGTTGACAATTTTCGATTTTATGATTTTTCCTTTTCTCTCCCCATTAAAAAAAAGAGAGATGATAGTATTGATAAAGATTGTAAAGCGCCAAGTAAAAGAAGATAATCCACATTCGTTATGGGTGGGCTCCCGTCTAATGGAGGTTGACGGTGCGTGGTAACCCTCGGGATTAAGGTTCTCTTCTTGCTCCGGGTTCTAGTTTGTACTCCCGGGCATGTTTTCCAAGGGAACCACGTGTGTGCATACGTGTCTTTTCTCTCTATACGTATAATCGAACAAACCGTATACAAAAATCTCGTAGATTATAGAAACTGTTATGAAAGAGAAAAAATTTAAATCAACCGATTTTTTCTTCGAGTTTGCCTCGATTAATTTTCGCTTATTTAAGTGTATAAAGTTTCTTGTTTAATGCATTTTATACTAAGCAAACACATCATGGGGTTTGGCTTTTGTAGGTATATAAAGTAGTTAATGGTGGTTAACATTTGATATCCATTCACTTTCGAAAGATATATCCAGACGTTAGGTTAGGTTTTAAAGCATATGTCCACGTTGATTTGAGTAAATACAGGGCGGTATTTGCGTTAATAACTGGGTTATGTTTGATTTATAAGGTGAGAGCTGCAACGTGGGAAATTAAAACGAGATAACCTCAACAAAAATTTAATAATAACCAAATTAAGTCAAACGTAACAATCGTTGTTTAAGAAACCTGATCTTCTTCAAGGTTAGACTCTTTGTGTATAATTTGTCTATTTCAATCTTCTTCGAAATGTAAACTGACCGTTTTATTTGCATTGGGAACCGGGAGAAAATTTCACGGTAAATTCACTCTAATTGGAGGTGTACCCTTAGCCCTTGAGTGGGTTCTCTGATCAAATACGCGAAGGGAAGCAGCTGCTGCAGGAGCTTTTTCAAAGTCACCACCACAATAACGATATAGGAGGTGTTTGCTAAGTTTAAAGCATTATTACTAAATTGCATTCTTTCGTTAATTTATTCCGTTTTGTCTAGTTAAATATATTTGATATATGTATCTTCTATAATACTTGTCAATGTAAATTTTTTAGGGTTTCTGTTGGTATTATCTAGGACCCTTATAAAATTTATGTTGTTTTCCTGATTTTTAGTAACATTTTCAGTAACTAAATAGTTGAGGTTAAAATACTAATAAATTTTTAGATAAATACAATTTTAACGAAGTACATATTTGTTGTAAAAACGTGCTACAAGGTAATTAAATAGAACAAAACACCTTTTCTAGGTAAATAAATGGCAAATAAACACCCCACAACATTTTTTTATGCGCCTTTTCTTTTTGAATAACGAAAGCTGAAACGTCAGTGTGACATATTTATTTCAAAACATGATAAAACAAAACTCCCTGTTAATTTTGCCAACTTTACAACAATTTGGCAGGTATTATAGAAAGAAAATGAACTATATGTGTTTAAATCAATTCTTTTGACAGAGAATTTGACGTTTTCAATGAGAATTAATCGTGTTGAAATGAGCAAAAAATTAATTCTTACCTTAATACCTTAATAATAAAGAGGTTATCTTTAAGGACCGTAAAATCTTGGTTCTTTATATTTTTATATACCTGTTTGTATAAAAAAAACTTGTGTCATTGTGTTCCAAAACTGCTCATTTTCTTTTCTTCTTTATGCTTGGTGATAGTCTATAAAGATGTCTTGTAAGAAGGGATTATCTTAAAAAAGGAACGAAAAAGATTAGAAGGCAATAAAACCAAAGATTTGATAAGAAATTTTTAAAGATAAAATTAATAGTTGTTAACAGTTTTTAAAAAGTTTTCCAAGAATGAAATCAAAACTTCAATGTAGTTGATGTATGTACGCAAAAACTGACGTTCGCGTATAGTTATGTGACATCTAGCGGTAAAAAGTTTTAATATCAAGAAAAAGTATTACAGATTTCTATATTTGACAATTTAAAGTTAAATTAAGCAAAAACTTTTGAAATTTAGTAAAATTCATCCACACCGTAAAAGAAATAGTAATGAATTCGTTAAAAATTATATATTTAGTAAATTTATTTCAAATTAAATCTAATTCTTGTTAATCCAATGCTGTAAAGTGGCTAATTATTTATTAAATCTTCATTAAATTTGCTTTAAACGGCTTTTAATTTCATAACAATATCTCAATTAGCTTTCGAGATACTTAAAGATTAATTTCTTTAACATTTATGTTTAACGTAATGCAAGGTTGCGTTCAAAAATTCATAAATTTGAAGACCTGAAAAAAGATTTAAACAATAATGTATTAATGTAATTTGAGGTTGATACAGATTAAATTCTTAAATGATCATTATCGACTAAACCCTTTCTTCTTTATACTTGGTGATAGTCTATAAAGATGTCTTGTAAGAAGGGATTATCTTAAAAAAGGAACGAAAAAGATTAGAAGGTGATAAAACCAAAGATTTGATAAGAAATTTTTAAAGATAAAATTAATAGTTGTTAATAGTTTTTAAAAAGTTTTCCAAGAATAAAATTAAAATTTCAATGTAGTTGATGTAATTACGCAAAACTCACGTTCGCGTATAGTTATGTGACATCTAGCGGTAAAAAGTTTTAATATCAAGAAAATGTATTACAGATTTCTATATTTGACAATTTAAAGTTAAATTAAGCAAAAACTTTTGAAATTTAGTAAAATTCATCCACACCGTAAAAGAAATAGTAATGAATTCGTTAAAAATTATATATTTAGTAAATTTATTTCAAATTAAATCTAATTCTTGTTAATCCAATGCTGTACCTAAAGTGGCTAATTATTTGTTAAATCTTCATTAAATTTGCTTTAAACGGCTTTTAATTTCATAACAATATCTCAATTAGCTTTCGAGATACTTAAAGATTAATTTCTTTAACATTTATGTTTAACGTAATGCTTGCATTCAAAAATTCATAAATTTGAAGACCTGAAAAAAGATTTAAACAATAATGTATTCGTGTAATTTGAGGTTGATACAGATTAAATTCTTAAATGATCATTATCGACTAAACCCTTTCTTCTTTATACTTGGTGATAGTCTATAAAGATGTCTTGTAAGAAGGGATTATCTTAAAAAAGGAACGAAAAAGATTAGAAGGCAATAAAACCAAAGATTTGATAAGAAATTTTTAAAGATAAAATTAATAGTTGTTAACAGTTTTTAAAAAGTTTTCCAAGAATGAAATTAAAATTTCAATGTAGTTGATGTAAGTACGCAAAAACTCACCTTCACGTATAGTTATGTGACATCTAGCGGTAAAAAGTTTTAATGTTACGAAAAAGTATTACAGATTTCTATATTTGACAATTTAAAGTTAAATTAAGCAAAAACTTTTTAAATTTAGTAAAATTCATCCACACCGTAAAAGAAATAGTAATGAATTCGTTAAAAATTATATATTTAGTAAATTTATTTCAAATTAACTCTAATTCTTGTTAATCCAATGCTGTACCTAAAGTGGCTAATTATTTGTTAAATCTTCATTAAATTTGCTTTAAACGGCTTTTAATTTCATAACAATATCTCAATTAGCTTTCGAGATACTTAAAGATTAATTTCTTTAACATTTATGTTTAACGTAATGCTTGCATTCAAAAATTCATAAATTTGAAGACCTGAAAAAAGATTTAAACAATAATGTATTCGTGTAATTTGAGGTTGATACAGATTAAATTCTTAAATGATCATTATATTACTTGATAACATTTCAATTTTTTTGTTTAACGATTCTTAATCAAAATATTATTTATAATTATTAATATTAATAACCTCTAACCTTTACAGTCGCAATAATGCGATAAGACTTGAAAAAATAATTCATCTCGAAATCGAAAGAGCTAAACAATTTAAGGATATCTTAGAGCAAATTTAACAAAAGTTGAACTGCGCACGCTTCGTTTCCAAAAGACTACCTACTACAACTATCGATCTAAAAAGGTTCGTGTTTTAACTCAGCAGGTCGTCGTTAAAACCGTAAATAACGTCAAAAGTCGTAAAACGTCAGGTTTTAAAAAAGAAAAAACTATAAAACCAAATTTTACTTTGAAAATGACCCATTTTAAAAGAAAAGCTACATAACAAGTAAGTAAAATAATTATCGTATCGTTTCTAACAAATCTTAATACGTTTATTTACGTGTTTTGTTCAGTACCACTCTTATTTTTTTTTGGATTGGTTCTAGTTATGAGGTTCCGCAAGTTGAAATTACCAGTGAAAGGAAGAAAGTTGAAGAGTTAAGATCTAGACAAAAAAATTATAGTGTTGTAGTCTTCCTTCTTCGTTTAAAAGGAGTTTGAGGACGATTGATTTCGTTTTTGAGATTTGAAATAAATTAAAGCCAAAAAAAATAGGTGAGTTTTTAAATTTGAGTGGGGATTGGAAATAACTTCTTGGCTAGGACTTGGATTTTATTTTAAAATAACCGTAACTAATTACTTAAAACGTTTTTCAAACGTGTTGCGAAATACGTACAAGGTTACGAAACGTAAGAATTTAAGATTTTTTTAACAACCAAATCTCCATCTAATGATGTTTTCACATAGAAGCTATTTCTTTAATCATTTTTGTCGATAAAAATAACTTATATAACTATATAAAATAACTTTTTTTCATTAAAATTCTTTTTTGAATAACTTATTGTTAGATAGATTGAACCTTGTAAACCAATAAAAAATAATATAATTTCAATAAATAATATAATATTAAAACGTCATTATGACATATAGGAAAAAGGTTGGTACACTTGCAACGAAGTTGGTTTCTATGATAAAGTAGAAAACTGTATTATTAATTTTATGCTTGATTTTTTTAATAAATTTAAAAATACTTTTTTCTTTAGAAAAACATGGGGGAAAGCACTTATCCTTTAAACATCGATATCAATAAACCCAGATATGACCAAGACAATTATTCCGGTCGAGCTAAACATTTTTTGGCAACCACCAATCCCTTGAACATTTTCGCAAGCAACAAAAGTTTAGAAAGGGCCCGAAGCATCGTTAATGCATACAAGTAAAAACTATAACGCAAAAAAACTAATAACAATTAAAAGTATTTTTTAAGATGTAAAAATCCACTTCCTGAAGGTATGACGACTGACGATCTTTGGCGCGCTAAAACATTATACGATTCGGCATTTCATCCTGATACTGGCGAAAAAATGCCTTTAATCGGCCGAATGTCCGCACAGGTACCCATGAACATGTTAATAACCGGGGGGATGATGTGTTTTTATAGGAGCACCCCTGCCGTAATTTTTTGGCAATGGCTAAATCAGAGTTTTAACGCCGTTGTTAATTACACGAATCGTGGTGGTAATGCGAAAATTAGCGATAAGTAAGTTTTCACAAAGAAAAATTATATATTTTTAAGTTTTTATCTCCTAGGCAATTAATTTATTCGTATGCTTTGGCAACAACTGGTGCAGTAACCACTGCTTTATCACTTAATAGAATATTTAAGGTTAGATTATAATGTTTATTAATTATAATGTTAATTAAAAATATTTTTTAGAAAGCGCCTTCCCTCGTTCTTAGATTCGTTCCTTTCGTTGCTGTTGCCGCCGCTAATTGTGTTAATATTCCCTTAATGAGAGCACAGTAAGTATCAAAAAGCGGGGCAAGATTGATATATGGCTTTGAATTTCTTTTTTCTAGAGAACTTAAAGATGGAACTCCAGTTTTTGATCAAAATAACAATCAACTTGGTTATTCAAAGAATGCTGCCCAGGAAGGTATTTGCCAAGTAATTTTTTCAAGAGTTATGATGGCTGCTCCCGGAATGGGTAAATATTAAATTAAAGGAATAATTAAAGAATACCTGTCCCACTTAAAAATCGATGATTTTTTTTTAATCGGTAGGAAATGACTCAAAAGATGTGTTAATGATAAAAAAAGTGCGGAAAAGTGTAGTACTTACCGAAAAATCACTTTAAAGTTGCGATTTGACGTTTCTTTTTGGAAGTTAAAAGCAATGTTAAAATTGCATTTTCGTATTAAATTCTAACCTGAAATTGTTTAATTTATACCCACGCACAAAATAAAAAGTTATTTTCACTAAACTTGTTGAGATTACAACATATTTTCGGATGAAAACCTTGTTTCTTAGGCTATCGATGCAGAACGACAATTAAATGGCGTTAGATAGAATTGTTTCTACCAAATGTGTATTAATAGACTTTGTGTTAATGGATTGTGTATCAATTGATCTGTCAAATGACTGAAAGCTCTTTGCAATCTTTATGTTGTAAATATAAATGATAAATAAGTATAGTAGCTTATTTAATAGTAGTTTAGTTAAATTAAAATAGTTATTAAAAAAGACATGGTTACAAAATAAAAATAAATAAATAGCCCGTGTGACGATAGCAACAAACTGTGTATTTAACCAAATGACAATTACAACTGACAACACAAGCAATGTTAACCATGTATTTTCTCGTATTAAATCCTAACCTCAAATTGTTTAATTTATACCCACGCACTAAATAAAAAGTTATTTTCACTAAACTTGTTGAGATTACAACATAATTATTCATAATGACACCTATGTGAAGTTAGCCCCCAATTAAACAGAATTTTACATGTATAGTATTTTAATTATAACATGAGAACCAGTGAACCGATTTCGATAAACAATGTCTCATTCGAAAGCTTAATCCTTGGCCAATACGAAAGTGGAAATGCCCGATTGACGATGTGACGATAGCAACGATAGCAACAAACCTTCCAACAACAAATTTTTATCCGCAATTTCCTATCTATTTTATTAGCTGATATCTTTCTTATTATTAGATATAGCAGAACACTAAATGCACCATATGAAAGCTTGATTCTTTCTTTATGAAATCGTCGGTCCTCGTTTGCCGATATGTTAATATTAAAATCAATAAAAGATGAAGAACACCGCTCTGTACGTAAAATAGCTTAATATTACCAAACTTCAAGCCCTTGTGCAATTGTTATCAAACCGAATTTTAAAAAACTGTGTTCACAATCAGAAAGAACGCTCCTTCAAATATCTTAATCCGGGTTTTTGTTGGTCAATATCAATTAGCATCATGGTTAAATCACCTTTAATATACATCTCTATATACAGAAACGTTTAATTGCTCTACCTCTAAACAACTTTCTTACATATTTGATATGAGGAAAACTATAGAAGTATATCATGAAGTTATAGACTTACACAAGGACGTTTTTGGTCAAAAAATTACCAAATTCACACGTTTTAGCTACTTTTAAACATTGTTGGGATCAATAACTTTCTTATATCACCAGGAAAAAACTCTATAACCAAGCAGCGATAGCCGCGTGTTATACACCATTAGAAAGAGCAGCAAATTGTAGATAAGATAGATCTATACTTCTATAGTTTTCCCAATATCAAATAAGAAACTTGTTTAAAGGAATAGTAATTAAACGTTTTTGCGTGTAGGGATGTATATTAAGGGCGATTTAAGCATGACGCCGATAGACCCATTTACCAACGAAAACCCGGGTTAAGATATAATAAATTTAAAGAGCGCTCTTTCCGAGTGTGATAATAGTTTTTTAAAAATCGGTTTGATAACAATTGCACAAAGGCTTGAAGTTTGGTAATTTTAAGCTATTTAATCTAAGTACAGAGCCACCGCTTTGTAGTTTAAGTACAGATTGATCTTAGTATTAACTTATCGACAGACAAAGACCGGTTTTAGATAGAGAAAGAATCTCTAATTATTATCTCGAATTATCTCTAATAATAAGAAAGATATCAGCTAAGAAAGTAGATAAAAAATTACGGATACAAGTTTGTTGCTATCGGACAAATGTGGAGGAGGCTGAAAACTAGAAACATAAAACTAAAGAAAATTCCAATATTTTTCAGCACCACATAAAGACTGAACATAATATAAATTATGGAGGAGTTGAGCTTTTTCATTCGTGTAACAAATTATAAAGATAATAATAACTATCTACTTATGAATGAACAAGTTCAACTTTCTCATAAACCCATCTTACGTCATACACCCTACGTTATGAACTTTTGATGTTAAAACTTTGTAACTACGAAAGGGATTTTCATCAATAATAAGTGTTATTAAGTTCCAAAATAACGTTAAACTAACTAATAATTATCCTAATTATAATATTTAAGTGGTTTGAAGTCTTTTAATAACAAATTTTTATTTAACTCTCATGCTCTCTATTTAAATGCGATAACAGATTATAAACATTTCAAATAGATTTTTAGAATCTATTTGTATCTTATATTCTATTCAATTTCTTTTTTCGAATCTATCTTTGCTCCTATCTGGCGACGCTCTTGTACACAGTTAATAGACACACAGTCTATGTAACGACAGGCACTTAGTCATTATGACCTATGCGAGGTTAGCTCCAAATTTTCCTAGTCCCCAATTAGATAGGATTTTACATGTATAGTATTTTGATTATAACAAGAAAACCAGTCAACCGATTTCGATAATCAAAATCTCATTCGAAAGCTTAATCTTTGGCCAATACGAAAGTGGAAATGCCCGACTCGAAATCTCTCGCGGGGTCATTTCAATGGCTGTACGCACATAATTAGTAAATTTTGAAATCGGGCATTTCCACCTTCGCATTCATTGCAGATCATACTTTCGACCGAGATTTTGATGACTAAAATTGGTCAATTAGTTACGGAGATAATTGATGTGTTTAATTAATTCGTTTGTTGTGTTTTAATCAAAATCCTTAAATATTTCGAATCGGGCATTTCGACAACAGCATTCAGCCAGACACAAACTTTCGATTGAGATATAAAACATTAAAATCCGTCAAACTGTTCTCTAATTATAGTCGATTTAGTTTAAATTAATTTTTTTATATTGGGGACTATACTTTTGAGCGTTCACACGTGCATAAACAACGAGCCGAAGACGGTGTCATTCCGAGGGCTGTATAAAGTTAGCGGGAGAGAATTGAAATCGAACATTTTGTGATTTCGATAGAAGACACTATGACGAATCGAGTGACGTATAGATCTTGATCATCGGGTACATTGTTTACGAGTTATCACCACTTAAAGAAGGTCAATTTTGTGTTATTTTCGTGTATCTTCGCATTATTTTGGCGTTTTAGCGAAATTCGAAAGAGTTTTCAAATCGGGCATTTCCACTTTCGTATTGGCCAAGGATTAAGCTTTCGAATGAGACATTGTTTATCGAAATCGGTTCACTGGTTCTCATGTTATAATCAAAATACTATACATGTAAAATGCTATTTAATTGGGGGCTAACTTCACATAGGTGTCATTATGAATAATTATGTTGTAATCTCAACAAGTTTAGTGAAAATAACTTTTTATTTTGTGCGTGGGTATAAATTAAACAATTTGAGGTTAGGATTTAATACGAAAATACATGGTTAACATTGCTTGTGTTGTCAGTTGTAATTGTCATTTGGTTAAATGCACAGTTTGTTGCTATCGTCACACGGGTTATTTATTTATTTTTATTTTGTAACCATGTATACACATGTCTTTTTTAATAACTATTTTAATTTAAGCAAACTATTATTAAATAAGCTACTATACTTATTTATCATTGATATTTACAATTTAAAGATATTTTAGTCGTTTGACAGATCAATTGATACACAATCTATTAACATAAAGTCTATTAACACACATTTGGTAGAAACAATTCTATCTAACGACAGGTAATTGTCGTTATGCATTGATAGCCTAAGAAATAAGGTTTTCATCCGTAAATATGTTGTAATCTCAATAAGTTTAGTGAAAATAACTTTTTATTTTGTGCGCGGGTATAAATTAAACAATTTCAGGTTAGGATTTAATACGAAAATGCATATTTAACATTGCTTTGAACTTCCAAAAAGAAACGTCAAATCGCAACTTTAAAGTGATTTTTCGGTAAGTACTACACTTTTCCGCACTTTTTTTTTATCATTAACACATCTTTTGAGTCATTTCCTACCGATTAAAAAAAAATTCATCGATTTTTAAGAGGGACAGCTAATCTTAATATATGCCAAATTAAATTTTTACAATAATGTTTAATTTGACTTCAATCTGAATAAGAAAGTTTAATTATTTCTTTGACACGAGACGAAACTACTCTTTTACCCTTATTTAATTTTATATTTTAGCTTTAACACCATTTATAATGAACCATTTGGAACGTAGAGGAACGCTTTGTCGTTATCCATGGTTAAATCTGCCGATGCAAATAGCACTTTTAGGATTATTTTTAACATTTGCAACACCGTTATGTTGCGCTTTGTTCAAACAGAAAGCGGAAATACCCGTGAATCGATTGGAGGAGCCGCTCAGGTGTAAGGTGAAGAAAATGTTGGGAGTCGACTGTCCAAAATATGTTTATTACAATAAAGGGTTATAGGTAAAAAGTTTCGAAATGTATCGTAATAAAAGGATAAATGTTAGATGAATCGTGGTCGTAGCATACAAAATGTAATTGTGACAATAAGTGATTAATAATAAAGAGAATGAAATCATGGAAACGTTGTCAAAACATTTTTTGTACGGGTTTTCTTTCAAAATCAATTCGAAAATGTCGCGGTTTTTAAGGAAAGTTATATATTATTGAAAATAATTTTATGATACCAATTTATAATGAGTCGAAGAGTCCCTCCTGGAAGACCAGTAGGTACTTCCCAATCACGATCAAGGTAACTAAGTAAATATAATTCAACGTTCATATATAAAAATTAAAATTTTTAGTGTTGGCGGTTGTGGACCATCATGTCCAGCAGTTTCCTCATCTGCAAGACTTTCGCGAATTCAACCACCTAGAGTTAGCTCTCAACCACCAAGACCATCCGGAACAATTCCAAGAATGACAGCTCCTCGATCAACAGCTAGAGTTCCATCGGCAGCTCCTCCACAACCAGTTTATCAAAAACGAAATTTAACAACTTCTTCAGGTTATGGACTTAAACCGACATCAACCTCCAAAATAACGTGAGTTAAAAAAGTGTAGTTTGGTGAAATTATTTATTTTTAATCGTAGGAAAACAACAACTAAATCCGTGGAGGTTAAGAACACCTTAAAGGGGCCACAAAAGGTGATTAAAGAAGTAACTAAAGCACATCAGGCGTCTTCAGGAGCCAATGTAGGGACTGCTCCACTTCCAAGTACATCGCGAACGCAAACATCTTTTATGCAAACTCGAGTAATTACAAAAAATGTTATTTTTTAGGAGTGTTTTTATTAATTTGAATTTTCTAGCCTGTCTTAGAACGAAAATCGAGTGCCAAACGGCCACCTCAAATTGTCCCAAAAAGTATGTTGGGAAATGTTACACAAAAAAGTCGACTATCTCAACAAGTCGATCAATCGTTGAATCAAGTGGCTAAATCGAACCCGAGAAGAATAGTGACAGCAACCGGTGCTAAAAGATCAATCGTTCGAGCACCCACAGTTATGATTAACGACGTCCCTGTTAATCCAAAGCGGCAAGTTATTACCGAAAATATCGTCGAATCATCTCCTGGTATTGAAAAAATTTCACGATCTTTAATCGGGATTGAAAAACTGTCACCTTGTACCGCTCGAAAAACGGAACTGCAATTACAACAACTTCAACATTCACCTGGGCCACATCCGGTAACTTTTTGATCCCAATTTGATACATAATAAAATTATTTTTCTTTATAGCCATCTCCATCGAAAGACACCATTTCGGTTAGAAATGTAATAAGCGTAACAGATAATGGTACAACAGACACCGCAAAAATAGTTACTTACGAAAAAACGGAGGTAAATCAAAAATTAATTCTCATATAATTTCTTTTTAATTATCATTATTAGCCAAGTCAACAATTCGGGTTATCCCCCGCTGAAGTAAGTAGAATGATCCGGGAAGAAAATCAAGATATAAGTAACAGCCGTAATTGGAAACCAATTGAAGTTGTTTCATCCGTCCAAACTACTCTCCCAATTAAAAAACAAGAACACGAATACATGTTGGATCCATTAACACATAAAGCCCTTCATGATTCAGTTGTAATACCAGAACAAGCTCCGGACGAGGCCCCCCTAGATGAAATTTCCCCAGAACTTTTAGCGGCAATGATTCACACGGAAGAACAAGGAATGGATATGGTTTCAGAACCCACTCATATCTACACTTTACTATTTCCGGATGATAACGAATTAGGTCCCGATGTTATGGAAGTAAATTCAGCGGCTCCGGCTCCTTTAGACGATGTTGCTGTACCTTCACACACGCTTCCAGAAGCCTTTTACAATAATAGTGTTAATCCGGAGCTTGAAAGAGCTATTTTGGAAACTGAGGGGCAAGGAAAAAGACCTAGCGCGGCTGGGTTTAGTGAATATCAAGAGAAAAAGCAACCTGGATGCGATCAATCAGAAGTTTTAATCGAAAGAATAAGTAAGATGATTAAATTTGATTTTATAATTTAACAACATATTTTTTTAGAAACTAAACACGTTAAAAAGCGTGAGCCACAAATAGAAGCTGTTAAACCCCTGGAAGAAGAAGAACCTCCTTGGGGCGACGATCCAGTTGAGAATGAAGCAAGGATGCAAGAACAAAGAGAACGGGAAATGCAATTACAACAAGAACAACTAAGTAAATTAACAACTAATTTATTTTAAAACTGATAAACTTATCGTTATATTATTTTAGTACAAATAGAAAAAAATTTAGCTGCTGTTGTTGGAGCACCTAAAGCTCCTCCACCAACGGTTTGTAATCCAGCAGATAGTTTTATGGTTGGATTATCAAATGAAAATGCAATTGATTATATCTTACACGTTGAACCTCCAACATATCTTTCAAAAGCTCAATTACGAGGATCATCTGTACCACCTTGGTTCCCAGGTTAAAATTTTTAATTAATGACTAACCTTAACTTCACTTTTTATTTTATTTATTATTGTAGGTTATTACGTCGCCTTTCCTGAGATACCCGAGTTAATAACCACCGTAAAATATCCGACTATTGCGTTAACCTCCGCGTGGAGACACGTCCAACCCAATATCTTTCCAGAAGATAGCTTTTTGGTGCTCTAAAAATGCTCTTACAATTTTTTTTTTCAGTTTTTGTTAATAATGATAAAACCAATATAATTTATTAATAAATTGTTTCAAATATTATTGATGAGTGGTTCATACTTGTATTATAAAAATTTAAAGTGAAAAAGATAAGAGAATATTTTCTAATTAACCTCAAATTATATCACAGAACAGATACTCTGTGCATCACAGAATATATAATTATACAGCGTGTTTAAACAATTCTTTTGTAATTCGCGACGGTAATGAAAGCTCTAACAGTACTCAAACGGGTGCTGTAATGAGACTCCTTACAGCATCCGATGCTGTAATGAGATTTTAGTAACATTTTATGCAACCAGTTCAAGTTGGTGACATTGGGTCATTAATTTTTCTGGTTGTCAATGTGACAATTTTTGTCTATGGATGTTTAAACACGTTCTTAGCATCGAATGCAAGGTCCACAATGAACAGTACTCAAACGGGTG